AGATATATGCGATTTCCATGTTACATTTTCATCTAAAACTACCCCAAGTTAGACTGTTTCATTAACATGTGCAATGGGTGTCTGATTGATGACGATATGAAAGTCGACATGAAATACTTCTTTTCTTAAGGTTTAAGTTCTAAAAACAAGTATCAGGAATGAAATAAAGTGGATTGATATTTGCCCTACTATTCCTTAAATTTAGATTATGAACTGTCGTGGCGAGCCCTAAAAGTTAACCAAACTGTTAAGAAACGGGCCCTTGGCCCTCTACTTGTGACCTTCTGGAGTCTCAATATCTTTTAGTAATTTTTCTATCTCGTGGTAGTCTGTGGAACGATTACAATCACACGAAAGGCCATCTCGACTCAAATAATAAAATTTTGGTGATAAGCAGACCACCAGTTGTTTGTGAACTGACAAAGTTATCAAATTTTTTTGAAACATAAAGGCGTCCGTACTTTAATTTTTAACTTAAGACAATTTTGGAGCGATTAGGTAACTGGTCGGAAAATCATTTTCACAAGACCCTTCTTATGAAGAAAAAGAAAGCTAGACTATTTCAGTTGTACTCGAGATCGTTTGTATAACAAAGGCAAGTTAAGTTTTTCAAATCTGTCAAATTTTTGGATTTGGTACATAACATTCTGCCTTAAAGTTCGTGTTACACATTAGTGGTAATGCTTGCTAACCAAGAAAGGAGAGTTTGAGTGTAGACAGACACCCCAAGCGTTTCATGGCTGAAACATAAGACAGTTTCATTGAAAAATATATGTCTCCCTTACAGAAAGTGACCTTCAAACTTTCCTAGAAGGCAAAGAAAACCAGTATTTGAAAAGAAAAATCAAAAGTTACGCATTTAGAGTCTTTGGTAAAGCATTTCTCTTTTGGCACACATCTTTATAGTGTTTAAACAGCCCGTTGAGGAAATGGAAATTTTTTTTTTCAGAACAGATATAATAACGGTGTTCTGTTCAGGTTAATTTTTATTTTGTAGTGGATTGGGGTCGCGAAGACATATATTTTATTGGACGTTTTGCTATGTAGGATAACTTAGTATTTTTATGAGTTTTCCCGAAGTTTGACGAGATCGTAGGGCAAGTCAAAATACAAACAACGAGTTTTGAAAAACTGAACTCAAAGCCACCCTGCAACTTCAAACAGCTTCATGGAGATAGTAAGTTAGTAAAGCCTTTTTTCAACAAGGGTGGCACAAAATAGTAATTAAAAAATCCTAATTAACCAGGGGCCCTCTTTAAATTAATAAACATGACAAAATTTAAACAGACATTAGGAAATGTTTAAAATCTTCTTCTTGAAACCATAGCATAATTTTAAATATGCAGAAATAAGTTCACCCAAAATGTTATGATCAAGTAAAACAATAATCCTGGCAGGTGAGCTGCAATTTTACCAATTGCAGAGAAAAAGGCCTGAAAAAAAA